AAACTCAAAATATTAATTGTAAAACACACTAGTAAACAAAGTACTCTCCTGCATGCGTATTATTACGACTGCGTGCGCATCATCCATTGTTTACTTCCGGAAAAATATTAATTCGCACCAGGTGAAATTCGGACATCAAAAAAAAATTAAAATTTCTACTTCAAATTAAATGAAAAATGCAAATTTATATTATTCACAGTTTTGTTTTTAGTTTGTTAATAAAAAAAATTATCAAAACTCGTTAAAAAAATCACATTTGTGAAATCTAGCATGAAAATTATTTTGACCCCGTCTTTCAGTACTGTCTCAGTACTTTGATATTGTTTTATTTTACTGAACGACTGTTTTCAAAGTTGACAGTAAAGCATATTTAGTGGGAAATGAGTTTACTAGCGCCATAAAAAAAAAATCAATTTTGAACATTTGTCCAAAAAATGATAGAAACGTAAATGTGAAATTTATTTCATTTATCCAAAAATGGAATCTGAACCCATTCTATGTGAAAATCGAACTTTTCTGAAAAAAATGTTCGCTTTTACAAACCGTTCATTTAAATCACTCTGACAGACATCGATAACGCATATACTTCGTATCGTAGTGGTTAACGCAGTCGGTCCTGTGCCATACCCTGTGCTATGGAGAGAGTTCGAATCATACTTGAATCTTTTTCTTTTGTGTTTTCACATATCTTAAAAACATGAGTGAAGAAATAAATTATTAAAACAATGAAATACAGAATTAAATGTGTAAAAGATTATATAAACCATATAATTTTGAAAAAATATAGCTTTCATGAACTTTTAGAATTGAGAAATGTCTTTTCTCAGAGCGGGGGATTGACATCGCCTTGTACGCCTCCATTCTTTATCGAATTCTTTCTTCGAATTTTTATCTACATGTATTTAAAGCTTTGAACTTCGTATGCTTTATCTTCTGCTTTTTATAGTGACAGTTTTAGCTGACATGAATGTTGATATTAATTTTGCTGACGATATGACGTATATAGTTAATTTTTCCTGTTTTCAAACGTCTCACAATATGAAGCTCTGCCACAGCGTACGCGTTTAGTAACATAATATAAAACGTCATTTGAATTTGTTCTAATTTTTTAACAAACAATTGGAATTGTTCAAATACTCAGAATATATATCCTTATATACCTTAGTAACTTTTTTTTGTAATTTTACTTTACGTATCTTCGAAGATTGGTAGGGGACGTTTTATTGATTGCTCATATGTTAAATTCTCCTATAAACATAGACAAAGATAAAGGTTTATTCCGAGAAATGTGCTAAAGGCTTAAAGAACGTCAATCGACCAAGCTTATGAGACAATGAAGTTAAATTATTAAACAGTTTTTCTTTTAAAGCGACTAAAACAATGAAAGAGAAGAGATTGGGAGCTATCGCTCAGGTTTTAACGACAAGCACAGGCAGATGTCTTCGTTCAGCGCATTGAATCAAACCAAATTTATATCCATGATTTCAATTCTAAATATTGACACTTGGATAGATCAAATTGGCGGACATGATGCCTTGATTGAAATAATGATAAGACGGGAAATTTTCTCGTTACTTCTTAGTTTGTGTTTAATGACTGATCATTTCCGAGCGGTTAGCGAGAGTGAAGCATATAAGACCAGCCGGGACATCTCACTGGTATTATTTGTAAACTTTTCCGGAGTTTGATGGCTCTTTGATGACAACCATCAATATTAATGTGGAACTTAGCAGTCCGTCCGCTTCCGATTTCCTTTGCTATCATCTGCCGCAAGTTGGCCGTTTGATTTGAAATTTTGCAGCATATTTATCGCTATATGAATATTTGATAAACTTTCTAGCAGCGGTATTTGTAATATAAATAACTAGTTTATGAACATGGAAACAAATTGCCTGAGACTCTCTAAATATATACATCATTTTTGTTGAGTGATGTGCTATTACACCCTTTAACTATTGTAGAAAAGACGACCATATTGCCTGCATCAAACCTTAGTACATGCATATTTTTAAAGAATATCAAAGTTAAATCTTGTTCTGTTCTCTTTTGAAGAAAAAAAAATTTGTTAGAAATATTAAGATAGTGAAATGCAAATATATTAGTTATCTCGTGGTTTCAAATACATAATTGATCAAAAATTTTTACATAAATTTTACACTCACATTCAGGCCACTTAAAATGCAAAAAAGCATAAACATATACATGTATTCCAAAAAAATATATACAAAATTGTAAGAAAATTTAAACGTTCACACAGTAAGTGGAGATGATGTTCAGAAATTGATTATTATGGGAGAATAAGGTAACGAAACCAGTGGATCATAAATTGCTTATTCCGTGAATTAAATTAAATAAAGTCCACTATTTCAGTTAATATAACGTACATATAATATCCAAATACCGCCAGTCCCCTATCTATAAACTTCCATTAAGCCAATGTCTCTGACAGAAGATTCAGGACGCGAGTTCACGTGACCAAGGCGTTAAATTACTCGGAACTCTCTTAACATTTTCCTTGATCAAATTAATAGAAGAGCTAGCGATATCATAATCAGAATCGTTAAATATTTAACCCAATAAGACGCCCATTATTCTGCGCTAACAAAACACAAGAGAACGCGAGAGTTAAGAATCAATTATACTTCTTTTCCCTTTTAACACTTCGCCATTTTCTCCAGCAAGGCCCAAGGTGACAATCCGGCTCAGCAGCCGTTAAAACAAATAAAGACATACGCCTGGGCTTTTGTCGTAATGACTAAGACAAAGAAAGTACAATTCTTCATCTTTTTCACCAGGTGAGTGAGGACCCTTTTATGAAGATACTAAATTCAATTTTGGCGAAGGACAATTTTCGTCATGACGAATTTAATGTCCGAATTAGAGATGACGGCAGGCCATTTTCCGAGCTGGGAATAAGCCTAGGAAAAATAATTTGGTAATACCCCGTAGAGAGTTAATAAAGATCTTCTTTCTTTCTCCCATTAAATTTATTTCGATTCACGAAATACTGATAAATTGCAACACTTAAACACAAGGCTAGATTTATACCAAGTGTTTCCAAAGCGATCCCCCGTCAATTCGTCAGTTCTTCGCTGCCTAAGCGATTCATTACAGAAATGTCTTCGTAATTCATTAATTAATATTGAGTATCGTAAAAGTTACTCAACAAACTATCAAAGTGACGAAAATTAACTGTGATGTTAAATTGTTCGTCAAATGAATTGTTTGCGGGAACATTTTTAGAAGAAAACACACAGAAATGAATAAGAGCAATAGTATTATAGCAATTTTTACCTTGTTTTACTTCAAACACTTTATTATTCTAATATTGAAGTACTTTTTTAACATTTATATAATTTACATTTAACATATATACTTGATTTTTTGATGTAACTAAGTATTTCATATTTTAAAATATAACATTAAAAAATTATTTGCCCAGTTTTTGGATACACAATCCACTGTTTTGAAGAGTTGCCCCAATCATAAAGGTGAAATATGGCCAGTAAAATATTGCAAAGATGTCAATGTCAAGGAATGTTTTTTCTGAAGATAAGTGTATTTATGTATATAAAGGAATTTATGTGATCTAAATACGTAATAAATTGCATATTTTTATTAATTACCAATTTGTTTGAATTCATGGGTCCCGAAGGGTTTTCCGGGTTTTATACTTAAGCGTCCTCTAGTAACGGCTATTAGCCTTATCCTTATCAGAATAACATTTCGGCTCGGCCCACCTTCTGTTGCATTCTGATATTGTAAAATCTGAAATCTCATTTGGCATTTGTAATAAATGCTCTACACACACACCCTCTATATTATTTAACATGGTGCAGAACAGAGTTGCAAATGTGCTTCAGGTTCACATGAAAGGAATTGTTCATCAGTTTCAGTATTTAAGAGCACATAATAACGATAATTTTGTTTATTATGTTTATAGCTGATAATAAAAATCTTACTCATTCCGAATCTCTGAATGTACATTAATGTTGATTAACTTAGACTAGTGTACATTGTCTTAGGATGCATTAGTCAATGATCCCTTTTCTTCACCAGGAAATCATTTTATAGATTATGTTTTCATTTGATGTTGAGAATTTAGAAAATCTATGACCATTTCAAGAATAACTATTTTAAAGAAACAGATAAATGCATTTTGTTTTCAATGAAATGTAATAAAATGTAAAATACCTTACTCTGCAAAAAGAATTCAGATACATGTGCATAAGAAAAAAATGTAGACAAGTTTATAAAGCTTCCTATATTTCTTTGATGTATTAAATGAATGGAAATAAAGTGATTTGTTAATTTTTCTAGACATTAGTCATATTTTAAATTTCTGAAAATTCAATATTTTATTGGAAGCATTAATAGTGACAAAGTCGTTTACAATCTAATTAAACACAATATACTGCATTTATAAAAAGACAAAGTATCAAATTTTTTTTAACGTTTTTACTTCAGTGAATTGAATGTTTGGCCATTTTTACACTTCATGTATTCATACATATTCAAATCAAAAATGAATTTATATTTCATAACAAATCTAAGCAAAAACGTCCAATAATAAATAGTCCCTAAAACGAAATACCTTAGGATTGTAAAGTACAGAATGCAAGCAGTTGCTGTAAAAGACTGAAAAAAGAGCTGCAGGAATTATTTTTTCAATAAATATTCTGTCTAATAATGCAAGATTTATCAGCCATATGAAGAATATTTCGCCTTTTTGAATTAAGAAGGATCTGAAACTGAAGATGAAAAAAGGTAAAATAAATTATTATATTCACTGTCATATTGAGGGAATATATGAACAGGAATTTTACAATACTGGAGCCAGCGTAAGTGTTTGATTTAATATAAGACTCCTTGGTAATTTCTTGAATTTGATCATTAAAAATGAATAACTTTCAAATAAAATACGAGGAAACACAATTGGAAATGAAAACACTTTGTTAAAACGCCAGAAACCATAATCTATAATTGAACCATAAAAATTGGAAAAGACGAGATTTATATTCAACGCAAACGTTATTAACCGTCATTTCATTTTATGTAAACGAACACGCGTAGCTCGCATTCACATTTGAAGACCATAATTAACTTCTAGAAAAATAAACGACATTGATTTTGTTCATTTTCAATTAAGAATTATCTGAAGAGATGTTTATGGCCGACAGCGCCTGAGGTGTTCCGAGCGCGACCTTAGTTTTCGGCGATAACGGATCGGATGGATTGATGCAGGGGCTATTGCAACTTCCGCGGAGAAAACCCAGATGAAAACAACTAGGATCTGTATCTTCTCAATATAATTTAAAGGGTTTTAATAGTCGGCACTCATGGCAAATTTACAAGTGCTTACGATAACGTGATTGAATGTCCAAGGGTTTATTGATCATTAAAGCTGCAAGTCAAACAGATGTCCAATTAGTCGACTCCGATTGAGAGTAATCTTGTATAGGCGGGGCCTGTCCCAGACTATCAGAATTGGGCACACTCCTCGATCGCGTTTAAGGGCCATTGAATGAAGTTATTATTGGACAATTATGATAGAAATTGTCGGAGTCCGTTATTCGTCCGCTAAGAAGTTTAAAGGGTTATTTGATTGTGTCTACCAATTTAGCAATCTCGGAAACTTTGCCCTCTAAACACCACAGGATAGTGAGAGAATATGGATCTTGTCATTGGAAAAAATGAAAATCACAGAGAACCTACCACAATGAAAACTGAAGTCAAAGTCCGAGATCTTGTGGAACAGGAAGTGTCTGAAAATGACAACCAGGAAGTTTCAAGCATGGAAAACCAGGATGCTGAGGACAAGAAGGATGAGGAATGTAAGGTTATTAATGAGGACAAAATACCAACAAAACCATTGAGATTTGGAATAGAAAACATTTTGCAACAAGGAAGCAAAACTGTAAAAACAGAGGAGAACATCAAAGAATCAGTGACTGTTGGACTTTCTTCGTTAAACGGATATTACAATCAGCTGTTTTCGTTGCAGAGAAGCAACATCAGCACGTGTTATCCTTACTGTCAAGAATTAATTTTTCCGGGTAAAGATTCCGGAAACGAGAAATCTCAATACAACAGTAAGATTATCTATTTACAATTATCTATTAATAATATTTTCTTATTTCTAAGACTTGTGAAAAAAAGTTAAAACAAAGATATATCTGATACATGTGTAATGCAAATACACTTGTGTGTATAGATACTAAGGAATTGCTTCAATAATATTATGTTTATAAAAATATACTATAATTTTTTTTGATTATTTTTTTAAAAACAGTTCTGCTGCTTTTTATATGTATAGTGTATAGAACGAGCACCTGCTATTTAAAATATGAATGTAAGTTATACGAGGCGAATTTTTAATGTTTTAGTTACAAGAAGAGTTGGCCATCCATATCAAAACAGGACTCCACCTAAAAGAAAGAAACCAAGGACGTCATTTTCTCGGATGACCATTATAGAGTTAGAAAAGCGGTTTGATAGACAAAAATACTTGGCGTCTTCCGAAAGGACAACTCTCGCCAAGACTCTTAAAATCTCGGATTCACAGGTGAAGACGTGGTTTCAGAACCGTCGAACAAAATGGAGGTGAGTTGCAAATATTTCTAGTTTAGAAAGTATATTTTAATTTGTATGATATGTTTTCGAATTATTCTTTACGAGCAGAATGAATTAAATGACAAAAGTTTGCTTTTAAAATAGTTTAACAACTGTTCACATATGTCAGGAAAATGTTCTAAAATATTTCGTGTATAATTTACTAGTATTAATTAAAAAACATTCAATATTGATGAACGCACAATTTTAATAAAAATTCAAAAGTTCCATTTTTAAAATAAACATCATTTCTTAATATGATTTTATGATTTTCAAAATTAATTTTTTGAACAGGAGACAAGCGGCAGAAGAAAAAGAAATCGAGCGTCAAGCTGCCAGTCGCATGCTGGCGACAATGAACAACTTCAGTCTGCCAAAAACGTTTATGTTCTCAGAGAAACGCTGAGCAAAGCCTTATAATCATTGAAGATAATATTTAAACAATCCATGAATAACAGTTTTCCCTTCATGTTTGTATTTTGGGAATCAGTGAGGAGAACTTTGCCTTATATAACTTTCTTATAAAAATCCGAAGATTTTACAAAACTTTTGGTTTCTTTAACAACCATGATCTTCATGACATCCGTCATCATGGTCATATAAGACAGTTTTATAATCTGAGAAATACTGTGGAAACTGAACTACCAAGATGTGATATGAGAAAATAAATACAAGACATGTATACTTTTAATTCATTTTGCTCAGCATACATATACTATATTCAAAATAAGGAATTTTTAGGAATATTTTCAACAATGTCACTTTTTAATTGCGATCATTAGACCAAGTACAATGTGTAGATACAAATGTATAGATCGTTACAAAATTATACCTATGTGTTGCACAATTTCAGTTAGTTGTACATGTACATCAATCAGTATTAACTAAGAGCAGTATTATAGTGTGATATGGAAGCAATAAAGCTTTGTCAATGTGAAGATATGTATAACTATTTCAATATATATAATGCAGCGTATATTTAGTGTATTTCCCCCATGTTCATGCCCATCTCGCGTTTTAAATCAGTATATCAGATTTGAAAAAAAGAAATTACTTTCAATGTTTGAATGCAAAATAATAAATGTGTATTAATCATACGTGCATTTTTTTTCAAAGAAGAAAAAAAATATAATAAAGTTGTTGAAATACATACTCAGAATAGTACTGAGTATTTAAAAATGAAACATACGGAGATAACGAACAGTATTCAGAAATAAATTTATTTCAGGCTTTTGGTCAACAGTTATATAGAATATGTATTATGGTTTTTGGATATTAAATAGTATGCTGTGAATAGAATAAGCTAAGTCTTGCGTGTCTCATGTGTTTACATTTCTTCGTTTTATAAATTTGTTATCTTGAAAAATAAGTGCCGTAAAATATAACAGTAATATAAAGTAAATTACTTGAAAATTATCATTGATTAAAATAAAAGCATTGTGTTAATGCTGTATGTCATCATTGTAAAAAAAAATGTTATCTTTATTTTTGCTGCAAAAGGAGCCAAAAAAAAAAAAAAAAACCACACACACACACGAAGGAAAGAAAAAGAAAGAAAATCTTTTTAAAAAAAAAGGACATTTAGTTGGGTCGTGCGTGTGTAATATGTTTTCATAAAAGTATCTTACCATAAATAATGATGGGTAACTTTTATTAATTTTCTTAACTGTGCAAAAATTCTCATTTAGAATGCTAATGTAGAATAAATACATATTTTTTGTTTCATATATAGCACTTATGATTATTTTTTTGAATTCTCATGAGAATTAATAATAAAACGATATCTTTTTTAAAAATAAAACTGCTTGTATATTTCCTCGACTGCAATAAAAGATCTACTCAATAGTAATTATCCTTACTCACTTTGTATAACTTAATTTGAATTGAAGGATCGCACCAGAAAACATTAATTAACAAAGAGCTTTTTTTATGTGATATGTGATAGCGACAGAGCCCCCGCCCCAGTCGACTGTTTCCTTTGCTCTGGAATTGATCGGGCTGTCTTCGGTCCGTGTTAAACGCTCCCCCAGGGTGCTGTCTCTCCGCTATCCCGAATCGGCGATGTCTGCAAATTAAGTTACCCCGAGAAATTAATCAGTCTCTCCCAAAAGCAGGGTAATATTGGCTCGGCCGGGCGAACACTATCTATACTCATTTGTCAAGATCAATTTGAATTAGTTGTATACATTGTCGAGAAAAAGGTCCTCGGAGACCAACATTTAATTTTATATAAAGCGATTTGCTATATTCAAGACATCCATTAGATTTGCGTAAAGGTCCGAAAGTGTATCAGGACTTATTTGCCATAACATTTGATTTCTGAACTCTCTCAGGGAAAACGTAAATCCGTCTTACTAAACATTTGTGGAGTATAGATGTTGGATAAGCTGAAACATTTCGATGAGAGACGATGGCGCGAAATCTGCGGAGAAATACAGAGTATTTAGATTGCAGACGATGTATTGTCCACGTAATTGATTTAGAGTAGGCCGAACCCAGACTATTTTTTTTAAAGGAAGGTCAATTTAGTGAAGACCAAACTCAGAAAGTTGTTAATTTTTTTCTCACATTCATCTACATATAAAGTAATTTGAACGAAAACTATGGGTCGAAGTAAATTGGACTCTGATTGAGTATGAGGCGATATTCCTTTGATTTTTTTTTTTGAATTAATATGCATTTCAAATATAAAAATGATGACATGATAAATTTAAGTGATATTAATAACTGATGTCTGTTGCACTAAAAATGCAAAATGAGAATGCAATAAACATTTTAAATAAAGTGTCCCATTTAAGTTTGAAGAATATCAGTTCATCACACTTTGTTGACAAACAAAAAACTGGATTGCTAGTATCAGCTGGCTTTAAGTTTAACGATTAATTGTAGCCAAAATGAGTTAAAAGGTTCACAAATTAATGAATCCCTAGAAACTGGAATCAACTGAAATGAAGTTATAGGCGTGAAGTTGTTCCATCTTAGCAAGTGAGAGGCACTCAAAAATTCACATCTTTTATAAGGATGAATTGTCTAAAAGAGGATTAAAAGACCAAACTTCCTTTAACTGTAGATAGTTAATTCGATAAGCCAAGATTCAGTGGAATTAATCGTCACTTTTAATGTGGGTAATTTGTAAAAGTACCCACGTGAGACATAAGAAAATTGCTGGGCTGGTGGCAGATAATTCGTCCAGCTATCATTCTGCCCATCCCTTAGTGAAATTGATGTGTCCGAAATTTCACCTTGGCAGCATTTTCATCATTTTTACTTTGTAGACTGGATGGATAATTACTTTAAGAAGTTGAAGTATTAATGTAATGTCATCCTATGGAGTTTTGCTTCTGAAAATATATTTCCTATACATTGACCGTTGTTAATTACTACAAACTTTATTAAAATCGGTAGTTTGTGGCAAGCGTTACGCAGTGGTTAGATCGTCTACTCTATAGAGTCGCGAAGTACAATGTAAGGAGTTGATACTTACGTCACATGTTCGAATTCACCGCGCAACGTGGAGACCGGTCCTTCGGATTCGAGCATGTAAACCGAGCACCCGTGTCGCACTAGGCGTGAAAAAGTTTACTCACTGCTCAGAGGCCTCGAGTATGGTGAAAATTGGTAGCCTTCCATCGACAAGTGGTGGCGTCATATGGGTGAAAAATTCTCGAAAAGGACGTTTAACAATAACCAAGCAATCACACAATTGGCTGTTTTGATATAAATTTATGCAACAAACAGATTTTAAATCATATCAGCTCACAATAAACTTAGTTTCTACATCTGAATTTAAACTGGATAACTAAGATGAAGGCTGGTTGACAGTGTCCGAAGAGGATATTATTGTTCCTTGAATGGTTGGTGGTATGTCTGTCTCTCAGTTTTTGTAAAAGAAAACATCTTCACTGGAGTAGATGCACACTTACAAACTGTACATGCATATGAGTTAATTTACTTAATAACATAGAATTTATTGTAAAATCGCACTCAAACCCAAACTTCCATATCTAATTGTTTGTATCATTTCGTATTGATCTTGAATTTATTAAGCGTCAAAAAGCATTGCAATAAGCTAGACGCTAACTAAAATATGATTAGCACTATATTAGAAAGTTTGCAGTAATTAGTTATCTCCATGAACTAAGGTGCCTCAGAGATTCCCATCCCCACAAGATCATGTCGAATAAAAAATACCCCGGTATACTGAAATCATGTTCGAAACATTTTTGAATGCTTTCAAGTTAATCTTGGTTTGTTTTTGTTTACATTTTATCGCCCCTACTTTCCAGTGGCGGACTACAAATTTAGACCTGAACTCAGCACTTATGGCCTTTGAGCAACAAGAATTGTTTTTCGGTCCAGTACCTATAATGCGACAAGGTACTTCGGTTTAAACTTTCACGTCCGAAGGACCGCTTCCCACATCCCGCAGTGGGGTTTGAACCCGTGACGTAAGGTTCCACTCCTATTCTCCGCTTCTCTAGAGCAGACAAAAGGTCTAACCATTGCGATATGCACTATGCAGCTGAATGGGCAAAGGGTATATTGTTACACGAAGAGGGAAAATGTTCAAATATGAAGAAAATGTGTATGGCTTTGGGGTATCTTAAATTTTAAAAGGGATACATCAAAAATAAAAATGAGTATCATTAATTTCTCAGAGGTCGTCGATTTATCTTAAACGTTGAAAAGAAAGACACAGAATTAGACTTTGACATTTTAAATGAATTTTTCTTCAGAAGAATGCAAAAACAGATCTGCTTTTATAACGGTTGCAATTGGTACCAAAGTGAATATCAAGACTGTTGGATACTTTACAATATATATATTGGCTGCTGGACATTTTAAATACAGTATTTAATATTGATTCAAAACATGTATGTTTTGAATCAATATTAAACGATTCGTTAAGTATAGTTTTCATCTGTAAAACTATATTTAACGTTTGTTAACTATAGTTTACGAATGATAATCTAAGTTTATCTGTCTGTAAAAAGCGTTAACAATAGATTTTGTTGATAAACATCGATTCACGTTTGTAAACTATAGTTTACGGACTGTAAACTATAGTTAAACTATAGTTAAGAGTTGTTAATCATAGTTTCACAAATCGTGAAACTATATTTATCAGATCGTTAACTATAGTTAACGGTATGTAAACTATAGTTTACAAATCGTGAAACTATATTTATCAGATAATCTATGTTTTGTAGTCGCAAATGATTGTTTTCAGTGTTAAGTATAGTTTACGGTTGTGAAACACTAGGGTTTACGGATGTAAAATATAGATTAACGTTGTTAACTATAGTTTACAGTCCGTAAACTATTGTTTACAACCGATAAACCTAGTTTATCGACTGTGAAACTATGTTTAGCTCATTTTTGTGAATTTAGCGTGCCATACTAAACCATACTAAACCAATCTGTAAAGGTGTTAGTCATTTGAACATGTGGTTTAACTGTTTAATGACAAGTGTTATAATTTATCCCCTACAAGTCTTTAATTCAATTGTATCTGTCTTCAACTCATTCGAAGTTTGTTCCCTTACTTTATTATAAGAAAAGTATTAGAAGATAAAACCAAATACAAGTAATTGAATTCACTTGAATTTGTCATTCTAATCAGATGACACGAAAAAATAAATAAATAAATCTTTAAGATAATGTGTGGTTGCCCTCTCCCAATTCAGGGTAAAATTATTGGGGCGGCAGGTAGGCGAAAAATTCTTTTTTTCCACACAATTTCAACGTATTTGTTTACGGGATAAGCAGAATAAAAAGAAAAAAAAATTGTGTACAGGATTATTTAAAAAACTTTTGAGTCGAGCCATTTTTAGTCAGTCGTTTCGGGAGAGGGCAACCAAACGATTATTTAAAGATGACCGAAGGTAAGTAACATCTAAAAAAGTAAAAAAAAAAAAAATCTGTGAACACAACGTAAAAACGGCCTCCCTAAAAAAACCAAAGATGGGGAAAGGTACCCAGGAGGAGTAAGCATACCCCACTGACCGG